GCTGGCATGTGGTGCTGGGGGATTGAACCGCGGTCCCTGTGCTTTGCCAAGCTTGTTTCAAGTAGGTGCTTTAGACCACTGAGCCATCTCTCCAGCCCCCTTTAGTTGTTCTCATGGATAGTAGATGACAGCGGAAAGGATAATACACATGGAAAAAATGAACAATAAGCAAATGATCCAAATTAGATACCAGGGATAGAATTGCATCCTTTACATTCACATTTTATTTTATTCCTATTAATGAGCCTTTCATCAGTTTCATCTGATATTGCAACTGTGCTGTTGGGGGCTAGGGAGATGGCTCACTAGAATAAGCGCTCCCCTGGCAAGTGCAAGGGTCTGAGTTCAATCCCCCGTTCCTCCAAAAAAAAGAAAAAGAAATTGTGCTGTAATAATGAATTCCTCCGCTCTATAATTGTTCCCTTTTTTCTCTACATTTTTTTCTCCCAATAACGTGGATTCAACTCAGGGCTTCTACAGTAAGCTATATCCCTTTGCATTTTTTGTTTGTGAACTCACTGTGTAGTTCAGCTGGCCTTGAAACTTGGTATGTAGCCCAGTTTGGCCTTGAACTTCATTCAGGTAACCCTCCTGCCTCAGCTTCCCATGTGCTAGGATTACAGGACTGCACATATTTTCAGATTTGTTTTTCCTCTCCCAGTCCTTTATAATGGTCATGTTTGAATGGTGTAGTGACATCTAAAATGGTTTTACTATCTTCTCTCTCTCTTAGTCACTCATGCTGATATTCTCTCTGTATGAGTTAGTTCAGTGAACGCTCCTCATCCCTTGGCAGTTGCAATCTTTATTCCCCTTCAAGTCCTTGTGTAGTTTGAACTCTCCTTACACTTTTCCTTAGTTTCTCCATGTGTTTTGGTCACCTAAATCTTTATATTTGCCACTCCAACCTGGAATCTTTTGTGTCCTTTTGTTTAAATGTATTGGTACAGTTCAGGTATATATATATAATGTAATGTCTGTTTTGTAAAACCCCACCCACCTACTTT